TAGTGGAATTCTTTACATTTACTTTTCTCCATGAAAGCAGTGCTGCTCATCACATCTGAAAAAAACATAATTTCCTCTGCTTCATTTACAAATATTTCAGGGTCAGTTATTTACACTGACTACTACTGCAGTGTAAAATTTAGTGGCAGAGGGATGTTAGATCCAAAAGAATGATGGTCTAAAGATTCAAGTAATTTTGCACCCCCCACAAAAGAACAGCAAGGAGAGCTTGAGAGAGACCTTGAATTATGTGTTTTGGTACCAGTGCTTTTGCCCTTAGATAGTGAACCAAAACAGACCTGATAACTTGAAGGTGACATCACAACTCAGTCTACACGAACTGTCATAAACACATGGTATTAAGTTAACCTCAAAAGATAAAGGACAACTCCCCTAACAATAGAATGAATTTGATAATGCTATTTTAAAAGGGGAAAGTCTTCTTTTTTAAAAGAAAGACACTCTTAGCCAGAACTTATCTTTTCACTAGGAAAGTGCAGTCAAAATATGCTTTATTTTATACAATTCCTAATTGTAAGAAATAAGAATAAAATAAAATCCTATGTCCTTTCTTCAGGTATCTAACATTAAAAGCTAACTGAGTTTGACACATAAAAAGTAAGTAGAAGCCTATAGTTCAAAATGGCACAAACTACTTAGCTGGAATATTTGTTCAGGCCAATTATTAAAGCAGTATGCTTCAGTATCTGACCTACACAATTATTAATTATCAGTTATCTCTGTCTATGAGAATGACAGACAACCACGAACCAGCCTGGAGAAGTCATTTGCCTGCATTTCAGCCATTTGCACTTCCTTTCATTGCGCATACAAACCAGAATGTTTCTAATTAATCACAGTTGTCCATTTCATCTGAAGCAGGAAATGACATTACTAGTTCTGGGCCAAGCAGAATCCTAAGCCAAATTTCTAGTGTGGTTCAGAATGCTGATTTGTTCCATGTTCAGCTGAAATGGATTACTACAATTAGATTTGATTGTTCCTATCACAATGGCAGTTTCCAGTTCATGCAGAATAAAGATATGATCAAATTAACAGTTTTGTTGTCTAAGTGTCAAGTCAAAATGGCTACTAGTTTGGATACAACCATGTAATACTACCCTCTATTGATCCATTTAAATCTCTTTCGGTAAGTATTGCTCTGCTTGGAAGGACCTGTTGAAAGCAGCAGGCTAAGGTGTTTTCTGTTTTTCATTTAAGCACCTATGACAGTGATGGCAAACCATTTTGAGCCTGAGTACCCAAACTGCAACACAAAACAAAACACGAGCATCCTGAAGAGTCCCACTCCTCTGGCTGCACAACCGCCAGCGCCTGCCCGGGACTGTGAGGGGGGGGAAGCAGTGGCCGTTGCCATCTTGGCTCTCCCTCTCTTTCCAAGAGTTCTTCCTGAAATCCTGAATCGAAGGATGGGTAAGTATTTCATGATGGTGACTTATGTCTCACGTGTCCACAGAGAGGGCTCTGTGTGCCCACTGTGGCATGCATGCCATAGGTTTGCCATCGCTGACCTAGAATATTGTACACACAACACATATGTTCTAACTGTGATATGATTCTTTCTCATTGAAAACAGGAATAGCGACTAACACTCTCATCTCCCATAGTTATATGTATTTGAAAAGGCTAATAATGGCAATTCCAGGTAGGTATTCAGAACTGTCCAAAACTCAAACAGGGGACATTCTTGCCCTATTATATAAATTCTCTTAAATGAAGATGCCGCACAACAATTTTCAGACCTCTAAGGATATCTAAGGTAAAGGTAAACATGACCCAGACAAAGGTAAAGGACAGTTTCTGCAGTCAAGTGGCCAGCAGGACTACAGTATACACGGAACGCTGTTACCTCAGATTTTTACATGCTTTTGAAGTGCTAGGTTGGCAGGAGCTGGGACAAGTGATAGGGATTCGATCTTATGAGTGCTGGTCTTCCGGCCTTGTAGCACAGAGGGTTCTGCGGTTTAACCCTTCCAAATATCTGAAGTAGTAGGACATATACTTGAACATACATTCAGGGGGTGAACAAATAATGTGGCCAAGGTTCCACTATAGCATTTTTCATGAACAAGTTCTCCACTCTGTCATTCCTGATTAAAGAGGAGCTAGTACAGTACTCATATT